TTTCAGCCGGGCTTTCACTCGTTTGAGTTCTGGATCTCGATCCTGTGTCAACATGCGGTGTTGTTCATATGAAATCGATTCGCGGTGTTGGGAGGTCGAGAGAGCTGCCCTTGAGCTGCTCGGGTGCTTGGTAGGTGCCCGGATTGTGAGGTTGGCCAATCTTCCGGTTGTTTCTGCTCGTGCCGCCATTCAGGAGTCGGCGAGGAGCTTCTTCGAGTTCGGGGTGAGTCATGAGCGGACTTGGGGTTAGCTGGTCCAACTGTGCTCGGTAGTTTGCTTGAGCTGTAGTTAGGAGCTCTAGCCTTGAGTTGGTGCTTCGAGCTTGTTCCTCTTATCGATCGAAGCGCTGCATAATGATCTCCATCATGGTTGTCATGGGATCCGGAGTTCGAACGGGTTCTACGTCTTTCCTGTTATATAGGCTCGGGCTCAAGAGCTGCTCGAACTTCTCGGTCGGTGACGTTCTCGACCGTTGGTTCGATCTATAGGTCGGGATTTCCAGTGCCATCCTCCTGGTTGACGGCGTTGTGTTCGGGCTGAATGTCCTCCATTTCCGAGTTGAGATCATGCGTTAGAGAATTTCTAGCCCCCTACCTGGCGTGCCAATTGTTGAAACGTGAGTTCGACAATATATTTGTTAAATAGTAAGAGGCTCGAAAATTCTCGTTTATTAATAACGTGTTCGGAAATGGGTTACAAACAACATATAAATAAGGAGAAATGAATGTAAAGGACGTTGAGCTCGGAAGCTCATAGACTGACGAACCTTGTGCTTCGCGAATTAACTGAGTAGCGAGATCGGTGTTCTAAGATCGGAGACTGAGTGACAGGTGAGTGTAACGAGGTTGGAAACTGAATGATGAGTACGTATTTTGAGGTCGGAACCTGTTGATAAATGCTCTGTGATCGGGATAAATACGGATTCTGTAAACCGTTTTCTAACGAACTTCCGTACGAATCCGGCGAAAAACGTACGAACAGAATTCTTTTTCCTTTTTTGGATGAGTTAGAGTCCTGAAAACCGTTGGTCTTTCAGATCCCTTGTACTCTCCAGAGAGTAATAACTGATGGATAATAGAAGGTGGGAGGAACCCCTATTTATACTAGATGGAGGAAGTACATTAATATAGGGTTTTTCTTGGGACTTGAGTGGGGTATTTAATTCTGTTAGGTCGAGCTCGGCGAGATGGACTTTATAATTTGTCAATTATACGGCCCATCTCCAACAGTTACGACCACATTTGCACAAAATATTAGTTATTCGTTAGTAGAAATTGCAAATGTATAGGACACGCTAATTGCTTAATTCGTGGCTAGATGGTAATTAATATATAGAGAAAAATATCATATGTCAAATATAGGTTGGACTGATTGGTATTAAGTGTTAAACCTATGAATAGATGCAAGACTATCTTTTACCATTTGCGAGTGAAACTATCGAACATAGTCTCGATTCAAAAAATAAATATAGGGTTTAATCGACCATATTAAATATATTTAATAAAAACTGAATCAAACTTGCAAATAATTTGACATGTTCCTAGATAGATGCGCAATTATAGGGTTTTTTTTTTTTTTTTCAAATTTCGTCTCAACAACGAAATTGGTTTAAGGGAAACTGCTATCCCGCTAGCAATGCAAATAGATATATATATATACCAACAAGGCAACAAAGACTATTTACTTCTTTAGTATTAATATTTAGTTTTTCAATTATGCGTCGGACACATTTATATTGAGATGATGGCTATATTCTAATATCGCAAATCATTAGACCGTCAAAGGAATTTAATTGATTTTGGATGGACCATAACGATTATCGCTATCGAGTCACACTAACTTTATTGCAAAGAGTTTTC